GCCGGCCCTGGGGCCAGGCTGCGCTGTAGGCCGAGGGGCGGCGAGGCCTCCAGGCCCGAGACAGGGCGCGGCAGCCCGGTGCCCGGAGAGGTTCGGAGGATGGAGGGGCGCCGCTGCCTCCCGCCAAGAGGATTCTGAGGGCCCTGGGGCTCTGCGGTCCCCCGCTTCCATACCTAGGCCTTCCACTCGCACAAGCCACAGGTGTCAGACGCTAGAGCTGAGGGGCGAGCGGGACTGCTTACAGCACCCGCTTTCGGAGAAGTGCTTACTGGGGGCGCCCTGAGCCGCCCTAGAAGGAGACTGGCCTTGGGAGGGGATTTGAGGAAGGTCTGGAACTCGCTCTCCTTCCCCTTTCACCAATTTCTTCAGCCCTCGGGACCTTGAGGACCTTAGGGAAACAAAAGGCCACCTTAATGGAAGAAGCACTGATCATAGAAATGCAAATAACCTTTCTTTCCCAGATACGTCTCTCTTTGTGTTTTGTTTTTTTTTTTTTTGGTGGGAAAGGACCCAGAAGAGGTTGAGAGGGAGGGAAGCCATTCATTTTTACCTCAGGGAACATAGTGTCTGCCTGCACTGCCTCAGCCTTTTGGAACCGGGAGGGTTAGAAAATGAGTGGGGGAAATAGAGACGCTCCCCTCAGAGCTTTCAGTCCAGACAGATTCTTCCCCCCTTCTGCTGGTATTGAGCCCTCCACGCGAGGCCGCCCCAGTCCTCTCAACAGCCTTCTTACCACTGTTCCATCGAGAACTGGAAGTGCAGAGAAGCTAATAATGGGATGCTCACTATGTGCCCCGCACTATTTTAGACTGAGCATGCTAATGGCTGTGAACAAAGATGAAACTGCCCTTCTGGAACATACGCACGCGCACACACACACTAAGGACCAAAGGCGGACAAACGTAAATAAACGTGGAGTGTAGTATGTCGGTTGGCGATAAGTGGTACAGAGAACACTAAAGCAAAGTAAGGAGGGAAGACTGGGGTGAGTGTTTTGTTTGCAATAGCGAGTGGTCAGGAAAGGCTTCTCTGATGAGGTGAAACTTGAGCACAGACCCAGAGGAAGTGCGGGAGTGAACCTTGTAGATAAGTGGAGGAGAAGCATCTTAGGCAGAAAGAATCGCAAGTACGAAGCTTTGAAAGGTTTGTGATGGGAGAGAAAAAGAGGGTGAACTCAAGGTTTTGGGTCTGAGCGACTGGAAGGCTGGGAGTTCAGGTTAGAACATGGTTAGTTCGAGGTGCCTGTGACACGTTCAAGTGGAGAGGTCAGATGGGAAGTTAGACACACCAGTCTAGGTTTCACGGGAGAGTTTGGCTGGAGGTATAAATACAGGAATTGTCAGCAGGCAGGCAATGCGACAAGACCGTGAGAGGAAGGGGGTAGACATCAGAGTGGTCCAAGAACAGCGTCATGGCATGAGCCGTGATTCCGGGTTGGAGATGGAGTCAGTCCCTCACCAGACACTTTGGAGTGCCACTACATGCCGGGCACTATTCTTGATGCTGGAGATACAGGCATGAAGGATCGAAAGTCCTTGCTGTCATGGAGCCTAGAGTGTACTGGGGAGACACAGGGAACAAATGCAGCACGTACTCTGCCAGGTGGTGATGTGTGCTGTGGAGGCAATGAAAACGTGAAGGGGAATGAAGTGCTCAGGCAGGATGGATGGCAGCTTGCTACAGAGTGGCGGGAAGGCCATGGTGGGAATGTGGTTCTTTGGCAAGACCTGGGAGAGGTGAGGGAGCCATGCAAGTACCTGAGAAGAGATGATGAGGGAGGGAAATGAAATGAGGAGTTGGCACAGATGACTGAAAAGGCCCCAGGGAGCTACGAAGAACCAGCAGAAGGTGGTACCTGGAAGCTGACTGTCAGAAATCAAGGTGGTAGAAGTGATCAGTCAGAAGATGAGGTTTAAGAACTGACTGCTGCACTTAGCATTGGTGACCTTGATGGGAGCTGTTTTTGGACAAGCAGTGGGAAAGAAAGCCTGATTGCATCTCAGGGTCAAGGTTTCTATCCAGGGTCAAGCTCCTATCCATGTTCACATGGGAGATAGGTGTAACCCAGCTTTGGACCTGGATCTTCTGAGTCCAAGCCAATTTTCATATCCATTTCAAATGCCACCTCTTCCATGCAGTCCCCAGGTGTCAGGGCCTCCCATATTTGTATTTCATCCCATCCTCTTAGGTAGGAAAGAGATGTATCCATGAGGGATTGTAGGCACTCCACACAGCCCTGGGCTGCCTGCCTTTGCTGAGCTACCAAGAGCTCCTGCTCTGGCAGCTTATGGTTCATGTGCACAAAGGGCAGGTGCCAGGCACACCAGTGGGGATGAGGTTACAGCTGCACATGCCCTGGGAGCACTGTGTAAGGAGAGGCTAGTTTTATGGGCTGAGGAACCTTCTGAAGGGGCCTCAGTAGGTGGAAAAGTCATTCACTGACCAAAGGCTCATTGATCGTCTCCTCTCCTATGTGCCAGGCCCTGTGGGGACAATAAGATGATAAAATTTACCGTCTTTGTCCTCAAGAAAGTGTGCACTGCGGCCTGGAAGTCAGACATGGATGTAATCAGCTGCCAGGGGTGGGAGGTCAGGAATGCTTCCCAGGCGTGAGAATTTTAGCAGGTCCATTAAGGAAGTTTAGGAATTTGCCAGACTGGGGAATCTGGATGGATGTGCCAAGACTACAGGAACATCACAGTCTGTTGGAAAAACACACACGTGGACCTGTGGTCTGGGACTAGATTGAAAGGAAGTATGGAGGCGCTCTGGCAGATACCAAGGCATGCAGGCTGTTTAATGTTACTAGCATCTCAGGGATCATAAGGAAAGGTAGAAAAAGACTGAGTGGTGTTAAGCTAAAAATAAAAGGCCTAAGTGAGAGGCAACAAGCATTTTTTTTTTTAAGATCAAAAAGAATAGGTATTGCCCGGCCAGCATGGCTCAGTGGTTGAGCATCGAACTGTGATCCAGGAGATCACGGTTCAGCTCCCCATTGGGGTACATGCCCGGGTTGTGGGCTCAGTCCCTGGTGGGGGCGTGCAGGAGGCAGCCAATCAATGATAATCTCATTGATGTTTCTCTCTCCCTTCCTCTCTCTGAAATCAATAAAGATATATTTTTTTTAAGAAATCAACTTTTCCTTTAAAAAAAAAAAAAAGTATTTGGCCCCTGGTTGGTGTGGCTCAGTTGGTCACAGTGTCATCCATACACTGAAGGATCTTGTGTTCAATCCCCGATCAGGGTGCAGATGGGAGGTACCCAATCACATCGATGTTTCTTTCTCTCTCCCTTTCTGTCTTAGAATCAATGAAAAACATATCCTCAGTGAGGATTTTAAAAAAATAAATAAATTCAGGAAATCACTGATTTAGGCAGAAACCCAAATAACGGGTGGCAAAAGCAGGTTTACAGATGTGAGTATGTGAAACAGTTTATTCTTGTATTATTGTAATGTTCTTATATTATTTGTTTTTTTTAAAAACCCAGCTTATTCTTGTATTATCATTATATTATTTATTACTATTAACCTACATTCACCCACCCCTATAGTGTTTGATAGGAGACAAAGGCAAGGGGTGTTTATGAGAAGGGGAAGGGGAACAATTACATCAATAGATGGAAGGCATTTCTGTTGGTGCAGAAACCTAAGTAGTGATGCTAATTCTAAAGAAAGTAATTTTCAGCTCGGTGGTCATCAGTCTGGTAGTCATCCTTTCTGCTTTCTTGTTCTCCTTGCAAACAATTCTTCAGAACACACTGTTGTTTTAGGCCCAGTCCAAAGGTTATTTGCCCTTTTAAAATCCCAAAGGTTTGAGGCATAAGACATGCAAGGCAGTTCCTCTGGGACAGCAGCTCTGGCTCCATTTATTCATTTTTCTACAGTGGAAATGCTTCCCTTACACCACACCACCAAGTTTGGGGATTTGTGTCCTAACTAATATTGGCCATGGACACCTTTGCTGATAACACCACCCCCTCCTCTACCTCCATAGTGACTCAACAGGAGAAGACCCTACTGCCTAGGCCTAGCCTGCTGGAGGCAGGTGGCGATAGCTGTGAGGAGCCCAAGCAGCAGATGTCTTGGGAGCAAGAGTTCCTGGTGGGGAACAGCCCGGGAGGCAGCGGGCGGGCGCTGTGCATGGTCTGTGGGGCCGAGATCCTGTTCCCCTCAGCGGACACGGCGCGCGCACACATCCTAGAGCAGCATCCTCACACCCTGGACCTGAGCCCTTCTGAGAAGAGCAACATCCTGGAGGCCTGGAGCGAGGGGGTGGCCCTTTTGCAAGATGTCAGAGCTGAGCAGCCATCCCCACCCAACTCAGGTAGTTGGGCCTGGGGTGGGGGTGGGAGAAAAGCGGACCTGTGGGAACACACTTGTGGAGCTCACGGGGCGTTTGCCCCCTTCAGACTCAGCCCAGGATGTCAGTGCAGACCCTGACTCCACTCCAGACGCTGCCACAATGCCAGCAGAGATTGTGGTTCTCCTTGACTCTGAGGACAGCACAGCCCTCCCTAGAAGGACCCGGCCCAGGGGACTCCGTCCCCTTGAGCTTCCAGGTCAGCCATGGGGAGCCAGCAAGGCTGAGCTTGGGTGGGGGGGCACAGGCCTATGTTCTGGGGGAAGAGTGGCTGCTGGATAGATAGCTTCAGCAGCCCTGAGGTTGTGAGGTTCAGGCATGTTCCCTTAAAAAGGTTTGAGGCCTCTTCTTTTTTGCAGCTGCCCCTGCCACAGAGCCAGTAAATAAGAAGCCCCGTGGTCAGAGATGGAAGGAGCCCCCTGAGGAAGAACCGGTCAGAAAGAAAAGAGGCAAATCTGTGACCAAAAACCTGGACCTGGACCTGGACCCAGACTCAGACTCTGACTCAGGTGAAGGGGGAGCCCAGAATGGGGCCCCATTGGGGCTCTGGCTGCGGTGCTCCAGGAGGAAAGCTGAGCCAGTGAGGGTGGGCAGGGCCCAGGCCGAGGGCCCCTGCACCTCACCTGAGTGGCACTCCAGCCTCAGTGGGGTGAGGCTGCCCAGCCTCCTGGACTCATACCGCCTCTCTGCCCTCCCTTCTAGACCCCCCGTCACCTGACTCGCCCACCGAGACTTTCACAGCTCCCACCGAGGTCCGGCACTTCACCGATGGCAGCTTCCCTCCCGGCTTCGTCCTACAGCTCTTTTCCCACACCCAGCTAAGGCCCTCAGACAGCAAGGATGCACCCAAAGAGGGGGGAGTGGCCGGAGGTGGCCTTCCCCAGCCGGAAAGCCCCTCTCCAGGTGAGCTCCTGGGAGGGGTGACAAGGGGGTAGGACAGGCTGTACCCCTGGGCTCTGGCCACCTTGAGGTGGCTGGTGCTTGGATCTCCAGAAGATGGGGCCTGGGGCAGGCACATTTGAAGGATAGAGCCTGGCTGTGGGCTGGGCGTTTCTGACGGTCCTTGGGTGTGTCCGGGAATTGGTCATTAGGTTGGACTAGTCTAGTACTCCCCCAAGTTTGACATCCAAAGTTTGATTCCAACGGGAGCCTGAGAGGTGCCCACCTTGCCCTGGTGGAGCAGGGGCCCACATGGGACCATTAACAGGAGACTAGACCAGTGGTGCACACTCAGCAGACACCTCTGGGGAGAGCAGCTCAATGAGTTGCCGAATGATAGCAGTAAGCGTGTGCTTTTGTAGCATGTCCTGCCTACTTTAAGAAACTTTTGTATGCAGTTCATTTGGTTCTTATAAAAGTATCTTTTCCGGAGGAGATTCTCAGAGATAGTTCCTTCTCCCCAGTGGTGCCTGTATTAGTTTCCTGTGGCTGCTATAACAAGTTACCACAAACTTAGTGGCTTACACCAACACAAATGTGTTTTCATTTCTGGAGGTCAGGTCTTGCTCGGCTAAAAAATCAAGATGTTGACAGGGCTGTGTTTCTTTTGGAGGCTCTAGGGGGAAGCCCCTTATCTCCCCCCCCCCCCCC